CAGAGGGTCGTGAGTTCGAGCCCGACCTTCACCATCGACTCCCACTGTCTGCTGTCGTTGTGTCCTTGGCAAGACACTTAACCCCCATTGCCTAGAATGAGTCTGGTGTGTGTGTGAATGGTTGGTGGTGGTCGGAGGGGCCAATGGCGCATACTGTTTGCCTCACTTCTGTCAGTGTGCCCCAGGGCAGCTGTGGCTACATTAGTAGTTTATCACCACTGTGTTTGGAGTGAAAGAATAATGACATGTAAAGCGTCTTTGAGTGTCCAAAAAAGCGCTATATAAAACCGATGCATTATTATTAATAAAGTGTAATTAATAGCATGCAAAGAATACTCAGAGCTGAAGTCCAGAGACAGCAGCGTCCCTGGTTGATGGCCTTAGAGCTGTTATCAGAGCCATCCACAGCATGACCACTTCTATCAATGAGGCACTTGTTCAGTCTGAGCCAGCCACATTCTCCTCCTCACTGAGAAGGTTAAGACTATTTTGACGTCTAATTCAGCACCATCCTGGGCTCCTTGCTGAGTGGACCTGGTTCAAAATAACTTTTGGTAATTGTGCTCAAGAATGTTCTTGATTAAATATGCGACATTCGAGGCCCTTGACATTTTAAAGTGAAGTAATTTGATACAAAAAGATGGCTTCACTGGCAGATGTGGTAATGCCCTTCCCACTTTTGAGTGGTTAGGGTCTGGTGCATACATGTACATGTACATTCAATCTAAGGGAAACTCAAGTAAACATTCACATCTAACTGCAAACACCACGAAATGTCTTGACATTCTAATGTGGTCTTCTATCATCACATCCCAGAAGGTGATGTACAGAAGGGAAGTCTTAATGTCCCATAGTCACTCAAAAAAAAACACAAGTCATATTTAAAAATGTATATATTTATCAACCCCCAGAAATGGTCAAAGGGTAAGAAACTATTTCATAAATGTGTGTTACTGATGGGATTGGGACGCATCCCTAGACCGGACCAGTGCAGTTTCACCCTGTGTTTGGAAACGGTATCCTCCAGGACCAGAATTTTTTTATTGCCATTTGAGAAACAAGAAGTCACAAACTAGGAAATTGCTTTGGCTCTCGGTGCAAACAAGTTAAAATAGAGAATAGAATAAGTCATGTGTTAAATACATGCATACATTTCTTCAAAACGTGTGTCGATTTTTCTGCATTAATCTGAAACTCGGACTCCTCAAGTTTAGTTCTGACTCTGACTTTAAGACGCTTCTTGCAGCAAACACATTTCCGACACACGTTACAAAGGTTCCGGGCACAATCTTGAGTAATCACATACAATCTCCCAAATCGTTTTGCGTTCATCTCTTCAGCTTTTTCCCTCTCCCCACGCCTTTGCAGCTCTCAGCAGGTGTCTTCAGGGATTTCTTTAAGGAGCGACATTTCTCACATTCTTTTTGACCGTTCCTTTCTCTGTCACTGTAACGTCCAGTGGCTTTGCTTTTCAAAATGGCCACCCGGGGGCCAGAACTGGATGCATGAATCGGTCCCTTTATGTGTCTGTGTCTCTGGACGTGGTGGATTTTATGAGGGGGAGGGGACCAGAGGAAGGACCCACAACTTCCACAAAGAGGGGGCTTCACTCTGAATGTCAGCATATGCATGAATTTGTTTCTCTGCAGCGACAAATGTTTGAAACTTTGTGTTTTGTTTCCCTGATATGCCTTTAAAGAATAGGCTTACACATGTGTTACGCAAAATACACATATTATTCAAATACAGAAAACTTTATTGATCTCAGCAATTCTCAGCAGTTCACACACAGATTTCACGCAAGAGAAAAAATTTAATTCAAGGAGGAGGTTTGACTTTAAACACCAGTTTGCACACACAATATTAAAACAGATTTGCTTATTTGTCAAAGGTGTAAAAATGTGGAATGCTCCGGAAAATGAATCAAAACCTTGTCAAAATATCTTTCAATTGAAAAAGTTGTATACTGCTAAACATTGAATTATACAAACGTCATGAGTGATTGGATGTATTAAATAGATTTATGCAATTGTTTTGTTTTTTTGGTGAAAATTGTAGCAGGGAAAAGGTTAGGGTCAATCATCACGTGTAGATGATATTGAAAAGGGCCGGACAAATATAAGAATTGTAATCCTCTTTTCTGCTTCTTTCCTTCATGTAAATGTTTTATGTAAAATATGTATTGTAACTATTATCAATTATAAATAATCTTTTATTGCTACTTTTCTATTGTACATAATTAAATCCTGCACAGACTATATTTTTTACCTTTAACATGTCTGCACACTTTTGTCTTCTGCTCAATCTGAGTGATTCTGTCTGTGCCAATTTCTCCAGTGTCACATCACTAAAGTCTGTCGTATCTTATCCTTATCTTATCTTAATACAGTATGTAACATAATATAATAATAACATACGCCGACTCCTCCACAGAGAGCAGAGGTCCCTCAATTTGACCCTAGTGATTTTAGAGCTTTAGCTTTTAGAGGTTTTACAATGATCTGCAGTTTGATCTTGTCATTTTTATGAATTGTCTTTCATAATATTTTTATAGTTACGTTTACAACATACACTACAACACCAGGTCAAGTTTTTGTCCCTAGTCACTTACAGAAGTCAACAGCGTCAACATTCTCTTCCTGAATGACGCCGACATCACTGAAATCAATAATCATGTCAACAATTAACATTAAAATGCAAATTTAGATCAAGTTTACAAGCCACCATCTATTTTAATTGGTAATTTATTCTATTTTTAGAGAAACCACTATTACCTCTGTCAGACACCACTCATGGGGATGGAAAGAAGTCAGGAGGAGGATAAACAGTGTAGAAACAGAAAATGGAGGATTCAAGTTGCAAGAACAACATTGCAAGTACATGGAAATAAGAGGATACATCATTTGGCTTTTATGCTCACTGCTGGACGGCCGCATGTTTTTGAACCAGGCAAAGTCACAAATGAAGTCTCAGCTGCTTGGGGAAGGGATACAGATGCGGTGGAGACAAGAAGTTTGTCTGTTACGGGAAGAGCATGAAAGTGGTGAAGGACGCAGGCGAACAGCGGTTAAAAACTGAGAATGCCAAACACTGCATATCCAGAGAGCAGAGCTAGTCCAATCACAAAAAGCTGCGTGGTACAAGCGTATAAATTATTTAAAAGACCAGGTGCTCCATTGGAAGAGGGGTTTAACTTCGTATAAAAAAGTGGAGTGTTGACTTTCCAGGTAAAGGCAAATCATAAAGAGCCTAGAACAGGGGTCTCCAACCTTTTTAAATCGGAGAGAGGCAGAGAGCTACTCCTAATAACAAAACCATAATAAATATCTACAGTGTCTTGCGAAAGTATTCGGCCCCCTTGAACCTTTCAACATTTCGCCACATTTCAGGCTTCAAACATAAAGATATAAAATGGTTCACAAATAGACGTATCCAGGTGTTAGAATGGCCAAGTCAAAGTCCAGACCTGAATCCAATCGAGAATCTGTGGAAAGAGCTGAAGACTGCTGTTCACAAACGCTCTCCATCCAACCTCACTGAGCTCGAGCTGTTTTGCAAGGAAGAATGGGCAAGAATTCCAGTCTCTTGATGTGCAAAACTGATAGAGACATACTCCAAGCGACTTGCAGCTGTAATTGCAGCAAAAGGTGGGGCTACAAAGTATTAGCACAAGGGGGCCGAATAATATTGCACGCCCCACTTTTCAGTTTTTTGTTAAAAAAGTTTAAATTATCAAATACATTTTGTTCCACTTCATGATTGTGTCCCACTTGTTGTTGATTCTTGACAAAAAAAATTATTTTTATATCTTTATGTTTGAAGCCTGAAATGTGGCGAAATGTTGAAAGGTTCAAGGGGGCCGAATACTTTCGCAATGCACTGTATGTAGTAATTACGACAAGAGGGAAGACCCATCGAGAACACATGTCAAAAATACTATAACACTGTATAACCCATTTATACTTATATGTAATGACTCAACATGTCATGTGTTCATTTCTAAATCCTGTGGCAAGCTACCTTGACGGGGGTGGCGAGCTACTGGTAGCTCCCGAGCAACAGGTTAGAGACCCCTGGCCTAAAAAGTCAAAAAATCGAAGGCACTCGTAGTTTAGTCCAATCACAGTTGTGAACAGCCACAGAAAATGTAATCTAATCAAAGAGTTAGTAAGTAAGTAAGTAAGATTTATTTATATAGCGCCTTTTACAGACCAAGGTCACCCAAAGCGCGATTCTTCAAAGAGAATTATTGAAAACTTATAATGACAAAATGTAGATCTTCAACATGCAATAATTTACTTTACAATATAACAAACCCTATATTCTTTGTACTTAAATGATACTTCTTTAGTTGAATGCTTTACATGATGCACCGAGGCATGACATCAGCAAGTAATCAAGAGTCCAAGACCAACGTTGGTTCTGGACTCAGCCATTAACTCAACCCTATCTCAATAGTGAACCCTAACCCTACTCTCGCCCTAATCCAATCAAACACTGATGTTGGACTTCATTACTTTGTGACATCAGATCAGTTGCGTAGTTGACCGACAACGTTGAAAATAGTGCTAGTTAACCCACTCATCTTATTTTACGGGAAACGTGGCACCCCTCAAACCTTAAAATTTAGAGCCAGGATTTGGGTCTGAAAGGACTGCAAGTTGTTATGAATAATTGTCCAAATTTTAAAACAATAATCTATTATTGATGAGAAAATGGTTCAGTTTTAAAGACGCTAAGACTTTGTGTCCATCATGCATTGGGAAAGGTGGCTCTGCTTAACTTTTCTTTCCGCACCTTTTGAATAATAACTTCACTCAAGGCTTTCATTTAATTTCCAGTTATTTACACAGAAGCACAAGTAAGTCTTTAAAGAATAAGAATAAATATTGAACTGCGGATGATTTGATATGAAAGAACAGAAGTTTTGATCCTCACCACAGGGACTTTGAAAACAAATAAATTGGTTTTGTGGAACTTTTCTCTGAGAACAAGCTTACATGCAAACAGAGGGTGGTGTGGAGGTGGAGGAAGAGTGCGGTGACGTCCTGGTGATGTGCTGAGGCCCGTGTTGGTGTCACTGACTTTCTCCCATGATTTGATTTGTTTCCATGTGAAGAAATGTTAACTTGATCGGCAAACTTGGCTACAAAAAACTTAAAATACTGTGAACTAAAATGCAAGAATGCCAGCTTGTATAATTTCTGAATGATGTTTCCAAATTTAAACAGAGAACAAAAGAAAAGAAAAATCAGCTTGTAAATTGTGTTGCTGACAGAATGTGTAATGTGCAATGGTGTATTGCCGTTTGTGATTGGCTGGGACGATTGTACTGTACGTTGGCATCCTGTTGCACGCAGCCCCCGCTAAAGGCTCCGGCCACACTAATGTAAATCTAAATATGTAAAGGGGTGGGAAAATATAAGTTCTCCCACTCCTTTACGAGTTTGATTATGTACCGTATTATGGATTTTTACATCAGAATTCTGTCTATTGCCATAACAGGAAGTCACAAACTAGGAATTTGTTTTTACATATAGTGCAGACAAGCAATAAACAAACCAAAACAATAGGTGTACAGGCATGCATAAAATATCTTAATACAGTTCTAATGAATTAATATCCACATTAGACATTTAACAGTCAAATCAAAGGGGTATTTTAAAAAGTGACAGAAGTGGAAAGTGACAATTGTAACAGTACCAGTCTGTTAAAGTAAAGTAAAAAGTACAGCTGCCATGAATGTAAATGTGATGTACACTGAACTCAAAGTAAACTATTCGTTTTGTGTTTTTTATTTCCAATATTTCACAAACCAAAGTTGAGAAATTGAATTCATGTTTTAAAATGATTTGATTTGAAGACATGTTTTGTATTTTATCCTTTGTATGTCTTTATTTTGACAAACATATTTGGCGTTTTGTGTTGCATTGTGTAGGAAAAGCACTCTACAAATAACGGTTTATTGATTGATTGTATATTTGAGATGTTTACGTGAACTGAATTATCTAGTTCCACACACTTGTTTCCATGGTGATGTCTCCCTTCACAATATACATGATTTAATGCACTTTTTGGCATTAGAGCTGATTTAAATTTCCACTTTACTGGATATGTGGTTTAATCTGCACCAAGATCTGTTTTGTTGAAATGGAAGTAGTATCAAGTGATTGTTTTAGCGACAAAAATCTGGCTGCTTTTTAGGAATCTGTGTTTGAAGCCAAGCTGCGGCGGCACGAAGGACACGTTCACATTTGTGATGCGATCAAAATGGTTTGATTTTTAAAACTAAAATGTGTGTGTGTGTAAATATGTATTAGGCCTACAACATTGCCATTTGCAACTACACTTCTCACCAGAAACTGTTTGGCTGAACTCTGAGAGCGATTAGTTTGCTGCTGAGCATCTTTAAAAACATTTGTCTTCCAATATTTTGCTAAAAATACTAAACAAAAAAATTGTATCAGAAATGATATACTGTAATAGTACGTATGACAGTTGGTGATGAAATATTGTTTTTAATTATTACAACACTGCACTAGTTCACTCCAGACTTGTGAAAATCTTTATTTTACAATTTAAGTGAGTTTAAACCATAAAAAAGACTATTTAAAATACATATGCAGTCAATATTATCAGATATTTGTTAGGTTGAATTGTTTGAAAATAAATAAATAAATTGATTAATATTTAATGACAAGGCAAGGCAAGTATATTTGTATAGCACACTTTATACTCAAGCCAACTCAAAGTGCAGAATATATAACATTTGATAGTAATTATTTTCACAAAGCCGCTATATTACTCCTTTATATTAGTCCTTTTTTATGAACAACATCAAAGTGTATGTTCTTTGAATATATCTCCAGTTCTCAAAACATTTATGAGAAAATACTGAGACCGTATTGATGTGTACTGACAAAGAAGACGTCCATCTTTATGACAGTTTATCGTTCATGTGGATTGAAACTAAACTAGGAGTAGAGGTCTGACTATTGACAGGTACTTACCAAGTCTTTCAGCTGCCCTTCACCACAATTTTTATCTCTAAACTCCTTGTATGGCTGAGATGTGACATATGGGCAACACTATTTTAAATATTTTGCCGTGCTAAAAAAGCGTATTGACCACACACTGCTCATTCATACTGTATTTGCCGGGTGTAGCATTGACAAAAACACATGTAGCAAATATAGCATTTTCTGTGACGTAATACGTGTCTAAAGAATGTTCCTTTATGTTGTGACGTGTGGCCTTTAGGCGGTGCGCTGCTGGGAGTGGACAGTGGACGGTGTTCCCTCTGCTGCTGCTGTGGATGCACCTCCACCATAACGGTAAGAATATTATTATTAGTAGCAGTAGCAGTAGCAGTAGTACACTTGTTCATCTGGAAACTAACACAAACACAAATAACCCCTGCAGTAAAGTGTTGTTCTCACAGCTGTTGTAAATCACAGTAGGACAAAAATCTGGTGATTGCCAACTTTGATTGTGATCAGCAAAGATTTTATTATAACCACATTTATACTGGGGTTGGGTCAAAGGCCAGAGTGGTACATTAGGACTATAAACTGTAGACTCACCGAGTGCTTCAACTCAATCCAATGCAAAGTATTTTTGTAAAGCCCTAAATCACAACAGCAGTCAACTCGGAGTACTTTACAAAGTTGTCAAATCACCAACAATAGATCAGAGAATCAAACAGTTCAACCACATAAAACGCATTGATAACAGCAACAACAACATGGCTGCTGCCGTCAATCATAGTGTTTGCCTTCGTGCGGAAAAGGCCAAGTGTTTAAGCCGGAAAGTAAAGCTAAATGTCTGCAAATGTTGTTGGTAGCAGCGGCCGAGTCGCCAAGCGCCATCAAGAGCGCTGCTGACCTGTCCCTTTTTGCGCTAATCGCTAGCTAAATCTGAGTTTGGCTACAGATCAGAATCAGAATAAGAATCAGATTGGTTAGTTGTTAGTATATCTGGATTTACAAAGCCAATAAAACATTAAAAAAACATAGAAGAGTGCATTAAAACCATGGAGCCTAAAATGGGAGCCAGAGAGCGAGTTGGAGCAAAACTTTTTCATGAGCACTTCCTATTGGGCTTCATTGAGCTACGGAGTTAGAAATATCCATCTAGACTCGATTGCATACTTGTAGATTAATATTGCTGTTTTGAACTAAATATTTAATAAGGAGCAACATATGTCAGGGATTATTACTATACAGCGACGGACAACAGCAAACAATGCAACATGTCAGGCAGCTGTCAGTCTAATCATCACTGATGTCCTTATTGATATGAAACAAACATAATCATGATGAGTTCTTGCAGTGAACTGTCTTGCGTTGGCTGGTTCCTGTTTGTGGCATATTGGAGCCAGTCTCTGCCTCAGACATAACTCACTCTAACAATAGTTGAATTGTGGAGTGCTGTGAATGTGGGTGGTTTTATCATTTATTCAGGGCCGAGTTGCTCTCTATCTCTGCGCGGACACACCAGGAAGCAGCGGTCAGGACGGTGCATAAATCAGCTTTACTGTGGAAGAATAACAACATGGCACATCAGGCATGCGGATTAGAATCGGCACGTCATCTGGGTTATTGCTTATTTTGTCAACTGCAATTAGTTTTAGGGTTTTGTCTCTTGGATTGTGCAAAACCGTAAGGGAACGAGATTGATTAAAACCAAGGAAAGAATGTAGTGGATCAGTTAGAGGCGTAAAAGAAGTGTTAATGAAATGATAATTCATGTCAAAAGCCAGCGATTGACTCCACACAAAAATATGAGCTTTCCCACTGCGACCCTGTGACGATCAGAGGGAAATGTTGGCGATTTGTGATGATATTTTACCACAAGAAAGACAGGAACGTGTCAAAATAAAAGCATCTCAACAAACTTCTGACTTTGAAAATTGGTCGTCTTGAAGTCACATGGTAGGACTATATGGAACCGCATTGTAATACAGTGCATCATCCATGTGGAGCGATTTATAAAAGTTTAAACACATTTTTCACGTCATAAAGGAAAGAGCAGCGCGTGCAAAAGCTCTTTACTCTTGTTGCGCTCTTGGTTGGAGCATTCACACGGAACACACCTCAGCAAAAAGACTAGGTTGCTAGGCGGGTTACATGCTGAGTTGTTTTGACACGTCAGTCTGTGTTGCTCAGTCTATAAGGAAGACTGTTTTTGCACTGAGAGACTGAAAGAAAAAAGTTGTCTTTAGTTGTCAACAAGTAAAAAGTCTATGAACTCTTGCCATAGTATGAGTTAAATGACAACATTTATGGCATTTTTGTGTATTTTTGAAAAGCGACAGAAAGTTGTAACATGGTAAAAACTCCAATAAGACAATTTTGCATAAGGTTTGTCCCTTAGATTGCATCAATATGATTTATTACCACTGTATGGAGTGAAAAATAATGAAGCGTCTTTGAAGCGCTGTATAAAACGGATGCTTTGTAATTATTCTCAGTGTGCGTATAGTATCACTTCTTACAGATCTGACTCGTAAACCTGTTGGGTCAGCTGCGAGTTTTGGCAGGATCTGTCCATGGTGAGAGTTAAATGTTTTCGATGAGGCCAAAAAATCTTCAAGGTGACACACTGGTTGCTTTTCACCAGAAATACAATACAATACAATAATAAAAAAAAAACACTGCATCCGCTTTTTAGATTTACTGAATGCATAATTCAACTTGAACCCAAACAGCATTAGATAAGATTTTAATAATAGCATCCCTTAATTACACAAAGATACACCTCCTGCTCACAGATATCTCGACTCCGTGTGAAAATGCGCCATTGTTTTGAATCAAAGTGTCGACATTGACCGCAAACATGCAAAGAATGAGAGCAGTTTTCCACAGCTGTGAGAACAACACAACTCTAACCCTGACGTACGAGCCGTAATTACACAAGTGATTGCAAAAGCTTATGTGCTGAGTGTTGATTTGACCTACCGCTGATTTAGAGTAATGGCAAATTAGCACAGATGTCATAAAACCTCAACGTTTCTAATTGAAATACATAAATTGAGGCTTCCATGACGCTAATGTTGATGTATTTGTTAATGTTCTGTTTTCCTTTTCATTCTCTCGTTAATTTACCCTCCGTGCCTTTTTTCAGAAAATGTCCCTGTTATTAAATATGTATAATTTGATATCCTTCTTTCATATTTGTTTGATGCAGATAACAGATTGTTTAAGAGGCATTGTATCATTTTCTTCCGTCTGATTTCCCATTTCCATTTTCATTCATTTTATGTTCTGTCCATTCATATATTTCTATGTTTTCTCCTCAACCTCTTTCCATTTACAAAGCATGTATTTTTGTGTCACACTAACTGTCATTATCAAACCAGTCCATACACAACAGACATCATTTTCATAATTGTATATATATGTTTTTTTTTATTGAATCAAGCATAAAAAACAGTTGAAAAGCATAGACAAACATAGACAAAACATTCAAACACAATTTCTATAATCTCCTGTTTAAGAGTCCAGAGCAAGACCAGGCCGGCCCCACCACTCAGAGTCATATGAATTGTGCATCTTCTTCACCTGATTATTCTTCCCCTGCTGAGAGAAACACGGAGAGGGACAGGCCAATATTGCAGCCCGGGGGCCCTGCTGTTCCTGGGATGCCATTTATTTATTTTTTCTGAGGATAAAGTGTTTGCGGCAGCTTCAGCGGATCAGACTCTAGAGTTAAAGAACAAGAAGTAAAGGGACCAATGAAAATGGTACAGTGTGGGTACGGGTAGTGTATACAGGATTTATATGTATATGTCTTTATTATGCTAAAGTCAGAGATTTTGTATTTAAATCTTGCTTCTTTTTATAGATTGTAGACTGCCTCCTTATTATGCTAAAAAGATTATGTTATTTTTGTATGTAGACATTTTAGTATAGAGTTCATTATAGAGCTGTGTTCATATCTTATCCTGTGCTGTGTGCTCATTCCTATTCTGTAACTGGGGATGCAACACTGAAATTTCCCCACTGTGGGACAAATAAAGGATCTCTTAATCTATATAAAAGGAACGTGCAAGATTTACAATGCAACTAGGAATGTGACATACATATAATTATACATATTTACACATCTTTCCTTGAAGGGAGGCTGCAGGGGTGAATATGTGTGGGTCTTTCCAGTTTCACTCATGCTCTATTATTGGCTCTAATGAATACAAATATGGAAGTTATCATTGCTACTGAAAACAAATGGAAAAACACATTATGAATGAATGGATAGATGGATGTGCTCCGATACCATTACTTTTTACAATGACGTTAGAAGATACAGATGTGTGCCATAAAGGTTTGTTTGACTCGTTTGATGATTGACATGAGACATTTGCTCATAGCTGTGAAATGTCTGGTTATACATTATTGTGGGATTTTCTGATTCAACATCAGGGGAATTGAGCCATCAGGAAGCCAGCCATGGAGCCATCTTTCTGCATTGATTAATTGAGGAATAATCCACTGAGCTGAATTTTTCATTTCAATGTATTAATTCTGAAAAATAACATAAAAAGGGTGTATAGACATTTGGAAACTAAGTTTGCAGAGACAGAGATAGATGAGGTCACAACTTTAGGCATTTATCTGTGATGAGAAATGATCTGTCATTACCAAATGTTTGTGTTCGGATTGTTCTCACTTTACCATATTACTTCTTACAAGATTAAGTGACAAAAAAAAGGTAATGTCCAGTTTGTTGCCAATGTTAGAGAGTTTTCACAAGAAAGTAATTACTTTTCTTAGCTGCAGCTTGTTTTTGATCAAATCTGCCAATCTACTGATCCTTGCCGTTGCCATGTGTGTGTTTACATGGACATAGGAAAAACTAAGATATGTTTTAATCACTTTGTCAGCGTCCTAACACACCCTTTCTTGACCAGCCAGTCTCTTCTACATTCCGCTGGATTTGATCCCAGTCCCTCAAGTAAAACATCTAGCGACCAATCATTGCAGAATTGGGAACACCAAACTCACCCTCCGACTACTTCAAAGTTTCTCCTTGTTCTTTCTTCTCATTTCTATTGTGTTGTAAAACCAAAATAAAAACACATTTTAATGGGGTCAAATGCCAAGTATGCCCCGTCTCATCAAAGCCCACTTTTGAAGGACAAGGAGGGATGTTTTCAGATGCAGCCTCATTTCAGATGTTTGTTGTTATGTGTTGTTCTGTAGAAAAAGACAGACTTTTTTCTTTAGCTTTAGTCCAATCAAATGTGACTGAACATGGCTCTTAGAATGGGCAGCTTGAGGCAGAGATTCAGACTATGATGTATTTTGAAATTAATTTTGTAAGATTGTGTGTCAGT